GCCCGATCAGCTTCTCTGGACAGTGCAAAGCTCTCACCCTGTCTGTGCGGCTAAACTCAAGGCCCCAGGCCCTGAGGGACCAGAATGTGCAGACACAGGCGCTGCCCTTGTTTCTCTGCACACCAACCTGATCTCTTCCCTCCCATGACCAAAATGGGCTTGCTGCTTCTTTCTCTGTAACTATGGATCATTTTTGAACCTTGTTCCAAGTTACACAATATTTTCTGAATACCATCTCCACTTAATTAGCCTAACCTTTCCATGGCCTTCAGTCCTAAAATCTCACCTTTTCTGAAGCCAGGTCACAGATGTGAGACTGAAATAATCACATGTTTGTCCCTCTTAAACATTCCCTTAGTTGCCTTGTGACATAAATTTGCTCTAATTTTATAGACAAATAAGTTTTATAGACTGAATTACTGGTTACTCATTCATTACTTCATTTTCTTTACATGTGTTTATTCTGTTAGCCTGAGATTTGTCTATTTAAATCTGGACACATAGCTTTTTTCCATTACTTTTTTGCATAATGCCTAATTTAAAATAATAGCCGTTCACTTAACAATAATCGCTACTGAAAGCAAAGATAAGTGTCTCACTAAAATCTTAATTGAGTGAATGTGTTAGGTTTGGGATTGAATCTAAGGAAACAGCAGAGATAAAATGATATTTTCCACCAGTGCTGTATAACTGATTTTTAGAAATATGTACCTAACAGTGTTTTGGGCCAGCGCGTATACAAACCTAGCCACACTATCCCTGTCCCTCCTCCCTGACTGGGTAATGAGGAGACTCATACCACAGTGAGGAATGAGAACGGAAGTCTGAGTATTCTTTGTGACCTCTTCCCCTCTGCTACTCTGACTTGACACCCCAGGTCGCCGCTGCTCCGTGGCGTTCCTAGCTAGCTTTTCCACCAGCATCTGGTTCCCTTCCCCCGTGACGTTGCTATCCCAGCAAGCATGTGCCAGCAAATGTTTGCTTTTTCCAGACACTTCTAGGCCACACCCAAATCTGAAAGCCACAGAGCACACAGAGGAACCTCAACCTTAACTGCAGGGCGGGCAGCAGGCTCAGCACTGGCGTCCAGCAGAAGCCTAATTCTAGGAACCAGAACCTTTGGGCTGCCCACTGCTCAGGGGTGTGCTAGTGCCACTGGGCACATCACTGCCCATTTACCCACTTGACATTTAAGTCACTGCCTCAATTCCATTTTATTACATGGGCCAGTAAAATTTATGAATATTTTAGACACAAAAGAGACCAAAGAGAAAGCTCACAAATGCATTTTCAACAGCTTTTCCCAAACTCCCCTGAGGCATATCCCGTATTGGATATTCAGATCAACCTGAAAGGATGTGAAAAAATTAATTCAGCCATAGCTACCGACGTAGCACCACTACAGAACAAAAACTAATTATGTAATCTGTCAAAATGTCACTTGAAAGATGAGACTCTTCCTCCTAATCTCACAGTTAAAGTGTTCTCATTGGCTTTTGGCCTTTCTCAAAGTGACAGAGTAAATCTCATTCATCTAACTGATATTCGGTGAGCATCTCTGAGGTGGCGGTATCCACTAAGAATCGTATATGTTTAATAAACACAGAGATGCTAGAGCCTTTCTTCAGCCAGAGATAAGAGATGCTGCTGTGGACACATATTGCCACAGTGTAAGCATAACGTTTTCTATTTGACAACTTGAACTTCTGTTACAAATGAATAATAGTAAATGAATCAAAGGGCCAGATCCCCATCATTCTCTGACTGTAAATTAATGACTGCAGAGTAGGACAATGTATGCATCTATAGGAAAATGGAGTTTCTTATTAATCATCCAAAAGCAGTTGTTGAGGGCATAGTCAGCACCGGGCACTGGGAGGAAGGAAACAACGTGTCTGGGGGACCAGACACACATTTTCCTCGTCTTCATGGAGCTGTCCGTCTGGTCAAGGAGACATCCTGAATGGGAAGCCTGCAGAGGAACACATGTGCTGTTCAGAAAACCGGGGAGTATGGATGAGAGGACCGGAGTGTTGGCACAGGCGGTGTGTCCGTGTGGAAGGACAGGTGTGGCCTCTCTGAGGAAGGGACATGATAGTTGAGTCCAGAGAGTGAGGACAGCTGGCCAGGTAAGGAAGGGTGAGAGGGTCCAGGCAGGGGAGCAGCTAGAGGTGTGAGGGAGATTGGGGCTTTAGAGAAACTGAAAGTAAGTCTGAAAAAGAAAATAAAATCTGTATGGAAGAAAAGATGGAGGGAAGGGAAGGCTGGAGAGTCTTCCCATGGAAGTGAAGAGCTTCCCAAGGAGAAGAAATGGCCTGACTCCCTGTGCTTTATGTGGAAAATGCTTTGAATGGGGCACGTTGAAAATCAAAGCAAGTGTTCAAGGGACCACCATAGTGACCAGCTGAGGTCACGGCAATAAAATGGAGAGAGACAGGGCCGTTCTAGAGACATCTGGAATAAAAGTTGACAGACCTTAACTGGGAATTAGATGGAGATGATGAGGGAAAGGAGAGGATGAATTTCTAACTTGAACACTTGGGTTGATGGACATCCTGACAGTGAGGTGGGAAAAACTAGAGGAGGGCTGAGAATCAAGAGTTAAGTTTTGGACAAAGTGGACTTAGGGTCCCTGTGAAAATTCATTTGGAAATGAGACAGCATAGCTAGATAAAGAAATAATTTTGAACTGAACAAACTTTTAGGATACTATCATGGAATGATCTTTAATTCTTAAACTTCCATTAATTTCATGACATAGTTCATCTAGTTAATATGAAACCAGACATAGTCCCTGAAAATAGCCTCTCTCCATCATATCAGATCCTGTCACTTGTGGGGGATGGGTGGTATTCAGAGGATTGCAATATGTATATGACATGTGTGCCACTTGTAGAAAGTTTACTTTTTCATACATTCAAATTTTAGTAATACATCATTGGTATAGTTCAATTTTATTTAAAACATTGTCACAATCTCGTCACACAATGTTTAAAAACACATACATATTCTTTTTGCACTATAAAAAGTGGGCAAAAGGGAAAAGAGTAGAAAAATGTGCTCAGAAAGAGTTTATGGTAAAAGGGGAGGACACATTCAACTTGAGAAACAGGGTCAGAAAATAAATCCGTCTGTTCATACATTTAACAAATGCTTATTGGGCGTCTATGGAATGTCAAGGCTGGTTTTAAATTTTAAGGCAAAGATTACAGACTGCCGAGTATTTTGCTTGGCTTATGCAAGGTTTAACATTCTTGAATTTAGTTGCCAACATTTAAAATTTGGAATATTTTATGTCAACATTCTGTCTTGTCTTGAAAAGTCAGAAGAGCTGACAGTGTGGGGTCTGATCCCCACCTGACAGCAGTTGGCTGAGTCAGAGCGGCTCTGGTCCCTTAAGTGTCATGCTGTCTCTAGGAACAGACACAGCCCTACCACTTTCCCAGAGGCCGGAGTCCTAAGTGGTTAGTGCCGAACAGGTCAGGCAAAATGAGTCAGAAAGTGGGCACTGGGTCTGGTGGGGACAGAAATAAGACTACAGGGTGATGAAGAAACAGTGAGAGGAGAGAAAATGCCCTCAGTACGTGCAGACTGCATTTCTGACAGTTAGCTGACAGTAGGAAATAATTGAGTGTAGTGAGGGAAGGCTGGAGCCGTGGGGGGCTGAGAGGAGAGGGAGGTGGTGGTGGTTTTCCTTTTCTTGTTTCCTTTTGATGACCTCAGCACCTAGAGCACATTTATATGATGAAAGAAGAGAAAGAGGAAATAGTGAGGAAGAAGTAAAGAGAAGATGGGAGTGGTGGGGTCCTGCCTTTGAGGGGCAGGAGCAGGGAGGTCCCAGCAGCACGGAGGGACAAGAATGCAGAAAACCAGGGAGAACCGAGAACAGACAGAACAGCAGGCCTGGAAATGCAGCTGCCTACCACACAGATACTATTTGTCTTAGTAATTCTTGGTTCCAAATGGACAAATCTACAGTATGTTACAATTCCTATTACTGCAACTGTGTACCTTTTCTAACTCCTGAACAGTCTTGCTGTAAACTATCAACACGTGTATAGCAAGTCCAGGACATATTACACCTTAGACCTATTTCTAGGATAAAAAAAGAAAAAACAATATATGAGACATTCTATTTATGAGTTATACTGTATGACCTGGATGGAGGATTTGTGACAAATTAAATGAAAAATGTATACGAAATTGCTATGAAAGTAGAAAAAGGAATCAAAAAGCAGATAGAAGAAAGGAGAAGCAAACAGACGAGTGATCACTTTGAAGTAGAGGCTGATACTAGAAGGGAGGTCGGGTAAGACGTAGCATTTACGATGAACCCATTTTATATGTGTGGTTAGGCATAATTCTGCAAAATGATTTGAAATACAAAAACACGAGCGGAGTTGCTGGAGGTGATGTTAAGATTCATCTCAAGTTCAACTGTCAATACCTATATCGACAGCTGTATTTACTAATTCACAGAAGAGCCTATGAGAGCATTCGTCATCATCATTAAAGGATATTTATCTTATAAAGGATAGCTCTCTATAATAACTACTCACATCTGTTCAAACAGTAATTAGGAAGTCTTTGCTACAGTTGTCAGTTTCTAAGGCCACACATACCATTATGCTTTTCAGATTATAAACCAGACAGATTTCAATACAAAATACCTTTACTAGATTATAATAATCTAGCCAATTTCAGTTGATATATTAATAATGTATAGAAAGAACTACAACTAATATTCTCTGAGGCGTAAATGTTTTTTTCTGAGAATTGATACTATACAATTCAAACTGCATAACATTTAGGCAATAGCAAGGTATTCTTTAATGTATACTTTAAAAACATTTTTCTTTATGGCATTTATTTTTATGTCATTGTGTGTGTGTTCTTGAATCACATAACTTAGGGTTCTTAAAAATTAAGTATAGATGTTGGAACCATAAATAGAATTACACAAATGTTGCTTCATTACTTTCATTATTTTCCTTATTTAGTACCTACATGAAAATGGAATTGTCCATCGTGATCTCAAGCCAGAGAATCTTCTCTATGCAACCCCAGCCCCAGATGCACCGCTCAAAATTGGTGAGAACATTTCCTGGTGTTACATGACCTCTTTTTCCAGAGCAGAAGAAATTTATCCTATGGCATTGTAAAATGTTGTTCTGTCTAGTTTTGCCTTCATCCAATATCTTTGAGTATTTTACCTCAGTAAAGAAATATGCACTGTCTGGTGAGTTTGTGCTCTTTTCTAGATGTTAACCTGGAAATTAGTGCCCAGAAGTTGGTCCATTGCCGGGCACACAAGGAATCATGACTCTTAGAAATGGCAAGGACCTCAAGAGATGACTTTGTATTTTATAAATATATTTATAGCAAAGAGAATGATAGAAAACCTAACACTTATTTGGGGGGTATTAACTTTTATACCATAAATGATTTGGAGCTTAATTTTAGATAATTAAAAAACTTTGATATAGAATACTTAGTAGGTATTAGTGAATCTAGGCTTGGAGTCACTTGTTTGTATGAACAGAGATAAATTACGATCTGTAGTTCCTGAAGTGCACTCCCGAGACACTGGCTCCTCAGCAGGGTGAATGAGGGTCCATAACTCTCTCTTTGTGGAAGGGAGAGTGATTTGCAAAGGCAGTTAAGCAAAGTTAAAAGAGGTGTTTGTTTCTGTAGGACTTCCACAATCCTTCCCATGTAGACTGACATAGGCTGTGCTAGGAGGCATTTCCTAAACTTTATTTGATTCTGGGAACTTATTTTCCCCCCTTGCATTTTGAAGAACTACAAAGATGAATTTTGGGAAATTTTCATCTACTCGAAGAAACTTTTAAATTGACATCTTAGAATAAAATAGGTATTAAATAGTGCTTTCCATGTGTCTTCCGAGGCCAATTTTCATTTATAAAAAAAAATCATAAAATGCTATTTTTGATGAATTCTTCTCAGTGGAATGCATATCAAATCCTCTGAAGGGCACTGTTCTCCTGGTGTGGTCCCTTGTCGTGCTAATCTGACAAGCTCACCACATTTACAAGTGTTAACACCTTTGAAAATTAAGTCATTCATGGGGGAAGAGCTCAGATAGCATAATACGCTTTATGAATGCAAGAACCTAAAGAAACGGTCCTGCTGGCTGGCTGCCAGCTCACTCTTGCAGTCACTCCTGTGAGGCAGGGGACAGCAGGCAGTTTCCATTTCCTTTGTCCTCACTTTCAAAGATTTGATCCTTAAGCAATGACTTCAAATGGATGGATAGATACTAATTTGGGCAGGAGAGCCTTTCTTTCAGGAGGGCGTCCTGCTGCTTTCACTGATAAGGATCAGGCACCTGCCTGGAAGGTGGGTTCATCTTTGAAGTCTAAAATGGAATCCGTTCTGCACCTGCTTCTCTTGAAGAATGGCCTTGTACAGTTTCCCGATGTTTCCTAGATAAGAGAGATGTAGCCCAGCAAACAGAGCAGGAGGGTAGCGATATTCGATTCTATTTTACCTTAGGTAATATTCTGAGAAATAAATGAAAGGATTCATCTTCATACGAGAGTAAATTCTTATCAAATACACTAGGGACTAACATTATTTCTTTTCAAACAGAATAAGCCTTTTGATTTTTCTGTTTATTCTCATGACATTTCTGAAAGTATATTGTTATCTGTTTCAAAGAAATAAAGTTCTGAATTACATCACTAATTCTGTATTGTTCCTTGAAGTTACTGTTACATAAATCTCAAAAATTAATAATGTTGGGCAAAATACAAATATTACACTATTACTTTAAAAATAACCTACTTGCTAAAGCCTGAGATTTGTAGCGAAAAGCAAAGATTGAATATAGATTCACTAATTAATATACTTAGGAGTCATATTTTTCTCCAATTTATAGAAACATGTGAGGCTGGGTGTCATGGCTTGTGGTAGCATTCCTTGATGCTAGGACTTTGAGATCAGCCTGAACAACATAGTGAGATGCTGTTTCTACAAAGAAAAATTATAAAAAATAAGTAAGGTATTGTGGTATATGTTTGTAGTCCTACCTACCAGGGAGGCTGAGTCAGGAGGAACAATTGAACCCAGAGGTTTGAGGATCAGTTCAGTGATTTATGATGATGCTACTATACTCTAGCTCAGATGACAGATCAAGACCCTGTCTCAAAAAAAGAAAAAGAGAGAGAGTGAGAGAGAAAGAAAGAAAAATAAAGAGAGAGAAAGGAAGGGAAGGAATACTTGAATTATTATTATTATCATTTTAGTTTCTTCCGGTAACTCATCCCACCCACCTCTGCCCTACCATCAAATACAAATAAACAGATAAATTCGTTTTAGTTTGGAATAACAAGAATGTTATTGTCATTTTATAAATGCTGAGAAAAGACTTGCTTCATTAATTTTTTTTCTTGTGTTGTTAGCTGACTTTGGACTCTCTAAAATTGTGGAACATCAAGTGCTCATGAAGACGGTGTGTGGAACCCCAGGGTACTGCGGTAGGCTCTTTAACACTCATGTTTCACTGTCATTGTTATTTGAAGTCTGTTCTTTCTTTAATGATATGATTTAGTAAAGTCATAATGCTTCTGTTTATAAATGCTTAAAATTTGGTGTGCGTCCCCACAAGGAAGGCGTACACAAATGATACTGAGACCGCCTCTTGTTCTGTTTGAGGGCTTGGCAAGGCTGGCTTTAGGGCACCTTGTTAGAATACCTTTTGGGTAATAGCTACTCTTGGACGGACTCAGGAGTAGAAAGAGAATCACCAAGGAAGAGGGCAAGGAAAATGGCAGAGTTCGTATCTGGAATTAAAGCCCTGAGCCCTTTGTCACTGCTCTTATTTGCTTTTCCTTGAAAGGAGAATATGTGTCATTAATCCACACACCTGGCACACAGGGCAACAGTGAGAATGGTTCACTCCTAGTTCGCATACGTGGCCCTGGTGTGGCCTTACTAAGACAAGGGCCTCAGATGAGATTTTCTTCTCAGAATTTGTCCAGTCCCTGCAGATGTATGGTGCTGAGATCCACATACTCTCTTGCCTCGTCTCCCAAGGTGGTCCTTTCTCTGCAGGTCACAACTGAGAGACAGAGCAAACGCTTTCATACACCAGCATGACACTCAGTCTTTCCTTCCTCGATGGCTGAATTAATCTGGCAACAACCTAAAAGCCAATAAAGTTTGCAAAGATTATTAAGAACTCCTAAAATGATTGTGATCGATCAGTGTTATAAATCAATTAAAATCCTAAATTGGATCACAAAGAAAAGAGAGAAGATTTCAAATTATCAGCCACAAGATTAGTCATCCTTTTCCGTTAGAATCAGAATCTTTTTACACAAACCGCCTTTCTCTCACTTGTCTCTTTGGTGACCATTTTTTAATCGCCTCTCGTATGTTCAGGCCATCGCATGGCACCAGGATGATGCATTTCCTACCTACACCCATTCAGGCTCAGAATCTATCAAACAGACAAGGAAACCAAAAACTTACAGCACCTTAAGAAGTACCGGGTTATGTGTATGGAAAAGCCATTATGGAAACATAGGAGAAAGGTGGTATTTGCAGTTCCCTCTCTGGTTCTCCTACGGCGTTTACATTTGGGCTCCCCCTATCTCAGATGCCAATACAGAACAACCGAATAACTGACTCATTTAACCCTTGAATTCATAAAAATCAGATTGGAGAAGTGCAATAAAAAATGGTTTTAATGCAAATGTGTGATTCAATTTACAGAATTTTAGTCATGGAAGGAACTCGAGAATTAATTTACAAACATTCTCATGTTACTAAGTTTCAGAGAGTTTAAATGACTTCTCCAAGATTCCACATCTACTTGTCAGTGGCTTGGGAATGAGAATCCGGGAAATCCAAAGGTCTAAAAATACATAGAATTTTCTCTTACAGAATCAATACAGATAAGTTCATCATAGAAATAGTTATTAATCCCTTTATTTTAAAACATCTTCTGTTTTAACTTTTTAAACCTCACAAGTATTACTTGGTCACCGTAAAGAGTAAAGCTCCAAGCTGTATAATATAATCAATATTAGCAGCCTAACTGTTTTGCTTCCACACTTTTCTCTCTGTTTCCATGTTCATATATGCATTTTATAATACTGCTGTTAATGAGTTTCTCAGTAAATTTAAAACATCATTTCCTTGCAACTTAATTTTTCATAAATTCAACAATGAAATGAGTGTACATGTATTTCTATTAAATGTTTACATTGTGCCAAGTATTCTTGTTCTGGATCTTACATCCCTTGAGGCCAAGAGTAGTTTATCAATTAGGAGTAAGTTCAGAAAATACAAAATACCTGTGGCTTAGACGAAGTGGAAGTTGATTTCCCTCACAGTAGGACTCTAGAGATGGGCAGTCCTGGTTGAGCTCAGTGTCAGGGCCTAGGCTTTGTCCTCCTTGCTGTTCAGCTGCCCCTTGTATGTGCCTCCTAGGCCAAAACAGCTGCCTGACGCCAGGCATTGCATCTGCATTCTACACGGCAGAAGGGAAGCCACTTTTAAAAGGTGTGCTTTCTCATCGTCAGACAGACATGCTGAAGCCCCACATGTCACTCCCATTTACTTCTTCTTGGACCCACTTAGTCATAGCTGCTGCCAGGGAAGCTGGCAAGGTCTCCTTTGGTTGGTCACATTGCTGTCCCAAATGAATTCAGGGTTGTTATTAAGTGTCTTAGTCTATTTGGGCTGCTGCAACAAAATACCTTAGACTGGGTAACTTAATAAACAACTGAAAGGTATTGGGCACAGTCTGGAACCGGGGAAATTCAAGATCAAGGTACGGGCAGACTCAGTATCTGGTGAGAGCCTGCTTTCTGGTTCATAGATGGCACTTTCTGGCTGTGTCCTCACATAGCAGAAGGTGCGAGGGTTTCTCCAGGCCTCTTTCATAAGGGCACTAATCCCATTTCCGAGGGCTCCACTGTCATGACCTAATCACCTCAGACCTTCCACCTCCTAGAACCATCGCCTTGAATTTTAAGATTTCAACATATGAATTTGGGCAGGGGGTGGGGATTCAGATCATAGCATTAAGAATGGAGGTTTGGATTAAACACTTCACCATTTATGCCACAAACTTTATGAAGTCAGATTTCCATGTCTAGGAAAAAACGTGTGAAAACTGTTGCACTATTTCCATGTCACTGTAGGCCCCCTCTGGTTTTGTTTCATTGTTGTGCTTTTTATTTTCTTTAGAACTGATCACTGATGACCCACCCACGGCCCTTCCCTCCTAATGGTGCCACATGTACTTTTTATTTCTCTAATTCACATGCCCTTACTTGTCCTTCTGTATTTCTTTCATGCCTCTGGGTCTCCAAGACTATGGGAGGTGGGTGGGAATAGTCTTGAATTTAGTACCATGTGCTAAACAGTTGTCATCACTCATTTCCAACCAGTTGACAGAAGGATTGAGAACAGAGAATTGAGAAAAGAATGATAAAACAAATTAAGGATTTCCCACCGGAAGAAAGCTGATAGGCAATTTAATAATCATAGTCTAATACCAAACACTAAGTATTCCTGGGAGGCTGGTAGATGGGAACAATTTGCTAAGAACTGAGCAGCCCTGGAATGGGAGGGTCAAGAAAAGTATGGTAGTGAGCTCTCCTAGTCCCTGCTGTGATTAAGAGACCAGTGTCCTTCCATCAAGGGCTGTAATAGTAGGGATGAGAGTAGTTCTTCCTCACAGCACTGTGAATGGGGGAGTCAATCATTCATAAAATCAACACTGAGTTTCTGATAGATTCTACTTCAGGGACTGAGGTTACAAGGTGAACACAGTATAGTCTTGCTCTGCAAGGATTTCATAAACTATAAAAGAAAGGCAGATTCGGTTTTGATTTGGTAGGTGATGGTGACCCAACAAAGGTTTTTCATTAGGGCAACATTTTAAAGTCAAGTCTGTATTTTATAAGTAACTTGATAGTATGACATTATGACAGATGGATGGTGGGGGGGGGAGAAGAGCTGGAAAGAAAACATAAAAATTTGAAAGCTGCCATCAATGCTCTTTCCTACCCCTCTAATGTCAGAAATCTACACACCCACTGCTGAAGTTCCTCCAATGACTTCTTAGTGGATAATGTGTTCCATCTACCCTAAATCCAATCATTTACTTTTAAAAATGTAATAGCATTGTAAATACTGCTTTAGTCTCTTGTCCTAGGCATAAACAGACCCCTCCCTTTTTTGAAAGATAATGCTGTATTATAATGGAGGCTGCTTTTATGTTTTTTTTTTTTCCATGCAAATATCCCTATCACCCTAGAGGCTCTATAACGGGGAGAGAGGGAGCTGAGAGGTTGAAAGGGATGGAGGTAATCCTCTTCCTCCTCTGTCGTAGGTAGAGGTTTACCAGGAGGGAGTAATTTGCCACATTGTAAGAAAAGGAGGTAAAAGTAGCAAGGAAGCCTTGGGGGTCCAGGCGACTCTGCTTACCTCACAGAACTACTTTGGGGACTCAGAGGGAAAATAATGTGCATTGTGGCTTCTAAAGTGTGAAACAGATACCTGGAATGACTGTCATAGGGACTGGGGCAGGCTTGGAAGTCAAGAACAAGTAAGTTCAGGGCATTTTTATATAGAAGCAAGGTTCAAATTGTATATAAATAAATCAATAATGTATCCATAACACACTCTTGACCCAGAACAAATACACTGAAATAGTACCTCAGAATGGGAATAGGGGGCAGGATTCCTATGTCTGGTAACGGGAATTATTGAAAACCCTAAATTCAGAGGTGGGGGTGGGGAGTAACAGTAACAACAGGAAGTGGATGGTCTAGACCAGCGGCAAGATCCAGGGTTTCAAATTTAAAACATTTTAATAGAGTCGTGAATATTTCTATTCGTCTGTCATAAAAATTAGGCCACTTGCAGGTAAAGCTTGAACCTGCTTTGAGGGTCATTCTCAATTCCAGCCCTTTCTCCGTGCACCTTGTATATAGATCATCATAAGTTCAATGTGCATCTTTCTGAAAATAGGTGTGGAGAGGAAACTGTCCATTTATAGAAGGAGTTAGAAATGATTCAAATGCAAGACTGGAGAGAATCATTATCACATGGGGAACTTTACAGGAAGACTATTTTATGTTCTTTTATGGTACAATCTGGTGTGGCCAAAAAAGAAGACAGACGAGAGACTAAGGGAAAAAAACAAGTTTATTACACTCGCAGGTCCTAGAGACAGTACGCCTGGCAGGTCACACAGGGCCACTTGGGAAAGACACCAAGGGGGTCGGGGCAGGAGGCAAGAGTAAGGAAGGTTTAGGCCACTGTTTCTATTGGAGTCTCCTTGGGAAAGGCAAGGCTGCACAGAGTGAGCTAGGGTTGACTAGTTTAAATAATATTGGTAGGTTGCCTGATACCTGGCCCTGGGATTATTAAGGTAGAGGAATATTCTCTGGGGTGTGTGGGCTAGATGGACAGAGAATGGCTCTGGAGTGTTCCGTTTGTATATCAAAGGCATGCT